TATTATATATGAAATTGAGTCAATCGTTTTGCTTATTCTTTTTAATAGATTCAGCTATTTCATTTTCTATCATTCATTATATTATATATAAAGTTGAGTCAATGGTTTTTCTTGTTCGTTTTACTATATTCAGCTATTTCATTTTCTATCATTCATTTTCATATTATATATGAAGTTCAGTTAACCATTTTGCTTATTTGTTTTATCACATTCAGCTATTTCATTTTCTTTTCATTCGTCACTTTTACACGGTCGAGATAAGTCGCATCTTATTTTCGTCGGTTACGTACATTTCTTTGTTCAACTCGTCGAATTCATTTATTCGATAAATTACTTATATTACATTATTTTCAAATTATTTTTGAAATTATTAATTAAGTTAATTAGTTCCAGTCGATTCTACGAGTGGTTCATCGTTAATTATGCCTCCCAGAAAAGGAGGAACTAATTTATCCAAACAAGGACAAATTTATATTAATGGTGAAAATGTAAATCAAGGTCAAACAGCAGTAGCTGATGTTGGAGGAACAATGGCGATGAGTCATATTCCGAGAACAAAGGCCTCTGCTACAACAAAGACTTCTTCAGGAACAAAGGCTGGCCTGATAAAGCAATCAAATTTTAGCATTGCTCCTCTAATTCTAGAGGGTGTTAAGCTACATAAATTACAATTAAATGATGTTATCAAACAGCATTTAAAGGACTTACGAATATCTGATATTCAGCTAAGTCGATCAGGTCACTTTACAATATATGCAGCTGATGTTAGCTCGTTTAATCGTCTATTAAATGAGTTAACACCAATACTTGCAACAAATGGACAGGCTACAGCTAAAATATATGTGCCCCGATCCATTCAACGTATTAAAGATACGGAAAAGGTCGCATTTGCTAAAAATGTCGACATAGAAATTCCTGAAGGTCGAATAACTGAAGCATTAAAGGACGTTGGACTTGATGCTATTGATGTTGTTCGACTAATGAATAAAACTAAAAATGTTCCTACTAGAACGATCAAGATTACATTTAGTGATCCACATAATCGAAATACATTCGTCCATACTGGTTTACAAGTGGACTCAATGCATTTCATAGCTGAAGCAGCAAATCAAAACACCAAACCTGTACAATGCTTTATATGTTTGCAATACAATCATGTGGCAAAATACTGCAAAACGAAACAGCAGATATGTGCTAGATGTGGTGAAACTCATCGCATTGAACAATGTACTGCTGCTAGTGATTTAATAAAATGCTGCAATTGTAAAGGAAGTCATATAGCAACATCAAATGAATGTGCAACTTATAAGGAACAGGAGAAACGAATTAAAAATTTAGTTAACCAATATTCATCTCCGAATACACCAACGACATCAGCTCCAGCCATTCATGACTTAAACGAATTTCCATTGCTACCAAACCTCTTACAACGTCAACAAGAACACATTCATAATGAATTATTCGATGAAATTATTAATGTATTAAGCAGCAAAATGGAAAAGATTATCGAAGAAACAACCAGCCGACTATTCCAGAAGCTACTTAACAAAATCAAGAAGATCGAAACATTCATCGAAACACAAGATAACAACGTTAAAGATGCCTTGACTATATCGGATTCTGATTCAGAAGAAGAAAGTCAAGTAGTTAAACACATTAGAAACAAGCAAAAACCAAGTGCAGCAATAACCAAATTAACCACCGCAGCAACTGACACATCAAAAAAACCAACAACAACCTCAAATGTAACTTCATCAAAACCACAACGAAAAGTTAAAGAAGTTTCGAAAGCAGCCAAAAGAGTTCGATCACCCAACAGCTCCTTAGATACATCAACATTTGACAGCAAAGATCTCAAAACAAGCAACAACGATGATTAGTGTTTGTCATATTAACATCACCACTATCAGAAAACACAAAGACGAACTCCTTGCTAGATTCTCCAAATACGACGTCATATCTGTAAATGAAACTAATCTGAAAAGAGACCAACCGTTCTCTATGAAAGGTTACAACATTTTCAGAAACGACCGAGTAGGAAAACCTGGTGGAGGAGTATTACTAGCTGTCAAACAACATATCAAATGTAATGAAATTCTTAGCAAAACTGTTGGAAAAAATGAAATTATAGCTGTGGAAATTGCTACACGTTCATTAAAGAGCGTATTAATTTCTTCGATCTACGTACCACCAACAGCAAAAATCCAGATCAACATCTTTAATGAACTGTACAATTTAAACAACAACTGTATCATAGTAGGCGACCTTAACGCAACATTATACAATATGGGATCAAGAAAAACAAATGCAAGAGGAAGACAGTTACAAGAGGTAATAAATGAAGGTTATTTTAACTGTATTGATGATGTTAGTACCACATATGAAAAGAATGATTATGAAATAAAGATCGACTGGATATTAGCCAGTCAACCTCTTCATTCATTAATATCAAACGTCGAAACCCACCCAACAATCGGTACATTAAGTGGTCACAAACCATTAACCTTCGATTTACCAATTGGACCTGAACCCAAACCTGCATCTCCAAGATTATCCCTTAACTTCAAAGCAGCAAATTGGCCAAAATTTAGAAATACATTAAATGAACAACTAATACTATGGAACAAACATCGTTATATAAATTCAGAATCAGATATAGAAGAATATACGTCGTTTATTACCAACAGCATTACTACAGCAACACAAGAAGCCATACCAACATCAAAAAAATTGAACACAAACATTAAACTAAGTGAAGCAACCAAACATCTGATCCAGCTCAAACATAAAACTTATCGTAAATGGAAGAAGACTGGAGAAGATAGTGAAAAACAGCAATATTATAAGTGTAAGTTGTTACTGACAAATTCACTTAGAAACGACAGAAAAATCAACTTTAACAACCTTATGTCGTCATTATGTCAGAAGAAAATGTATTCAGATTCAGTATGGCTTACGATTCGCAAGTTTCACAACAAGCGAATAAAACAAAGCCACAGTAACAACATCAAATATAACAATGTGACTGCAACATCAGATAAGGAAAAAGCCGATCTATTTGCTGGATATTTTCAAAATGAAGTCTATGTCAAAGCTCCTGACACATTACCGTTTCATCAGCAAGTGACAAGACAAACTTTTAACATTAAAAACAGATCTTCTAACACGAAACTAAACAAGTGGAAGAAGATCACAATAGAAGAAGTTAAATATAACATCAAACAACTTCGAAACACCTCCAATGGGCCTGACAACATCCACAACAGATGTCTGAAAAATCACACACAATCACTGATTCAACATCTGACTAAATTATTCAACTCCATATTAAATATGGGTTATATTCCAAGTGGATGGAAAAATGCAAATATTATACTTTTATTAAAGCCCAACAAAGATAGACAACATCCGTCAAGTTATCGTCCGATTAGTCTTCTTAGTTGCCTCGGCAAACTTCTGGAGAAAATAATCAAGCAACGACTGATGGTTATTCTGGACCGACGCAACATCCTTCCAGAACATCAAGCTGGCTTTCGACCACGGAAAAGCACTTTAAACAACATCATAAGGCTGACAAAGTATGCACAAAATCAGCTCCATTCAACTGATCATAGTCGTCATGCAGCAGTTATATTATTTGATATTAAAGCTGCATTTGACTCTGTCTGGCATGAAGGACTAATATATAAATTAAATGAACTACGTCTACCACAATATTTAACAAATTATCTGATTTCGTTTCTTCAAAACAGAACTGCTGTTATAGAAATCGAAAATATATTATCCAGACCATTCAACCTTAATAGTGGTACTCCACAAGGATCTCCGTTATCACCATTACTCTACATTATATATACGGCAGATTCGATGAATGGAATACCGGAACATACAGAACATGGTCTTTTTGCCGATGACACCGCACTATGGACATCATCCAACACAATAACAAGCCTTAATTCCCGCCTACAACAATCCATAGATGCATTCCAAAGTTGGTGCAAATCGTGGAAACTAAAATTACAACCAACAAAAACTGAACTCGTCCACTTCACTGTACATCCAAGAAAACAATATAAAAATCCAGTCGCAGTCAAAATAGATGATATATCCATCAAACCATCCAACTCAACAAGATATTTAGGTGTTATTATTGACAAAACGTTGAATTGGAGAAGTCATATCCATCACATTGAATCGAAGATTGCTGGTCGTATTAGTCTGTTACGGTTTTTAAACAGAGCAGCTTACGAACCTAATGACAAAATTATGTTAAACATCTTCAAATCAATTGCAAGATCGATTATCATCTATGGTTATCCAATATTACTTACTGCCAATGATAAAATATGGGAAAGACTACAAATAATGCAAAACAAAGCCATTCGTGCTGCATTAGGATTACCCATATATACATCCGTCGAATATATCCATCGAATTACCAATATCCCCAAAATTAAAGAATATGCCGTTACTCTCCTGCAACGTTATATTCAAACAGCAACATCAAATAACGACCAACTACTAACCAACAACCTGCAAGATATATTCAACAAACTTCAATAAGAAATCACCTACCCATGTTACATATTACATATAGCATCGTCACTATCGACCATTGTTGAGTCGACCGAATCCATACAAAAATTGTTATATCGGAATCATCGACTTTAACTTTGCATCATACATATGTATATATACTATTATAACAACTTCCATCGTATAACCTCTTTTCACGAGACATAAGACATTCGTCATGCGTCTCGGCGTTTCTCTCCAGCCTTTTGTATACTTGTATATATTGTTGCTTCTTTTTTGTTAACATCTCAATAAAAAGGCTTTGACTCCAAAAAAAAAAAAAAAAAAAAAAAAAAAATTTCTTTTCTGCATTTTCATATTATATATGAAGTTAAGTAAAATTTTTTTTATTGATGCATTTTTCATAAACGAAATATGTTTTTCTTTTTTATTTTTCTTTTGACTTCAATTTTATTTAAAAATTGAATATTTAGTTATCTATCGAATTCTATTTTATGAAAATGATACGACAATGTATTTCTCTTCTCATCAAATAAATAAAATAACATGGAATTTGTTTTTTTTCGTGAATATATTTTAACTTATCACACATTTATTTTATTTATTTTTTTTTGCAATATTCATTCAGATCACTTTTGAAATACTGAATTTATTGACTTGATATAATTTATCATTATTTTATGTTTTTTTTTTTTGTTTAATTTTTATTTTATGCTTGTTCTTATTTAAAATAGACAATGAGCCATATGCACAATTTGCTTGTTGGCCACTATTTCAGCTATATCGTGGCCACCACAGAATCATTCATTTCTTTTCCTCTTTTCGATTGTTTAAACAATCGAAAAGAGGAAAAGAAATGAATGATTCTGTGGTGGCCACGATATAGGCTATGTTCACACCAGAGTTTCCAATGGAAATCGAAAATAAAATGTACCGTACACGCTGTTTTCAATAAGCAAAATGTATGTTTACACTTTGCTTTAATCAGCAAAGTGTATCAAAGTGTACGAAAGTCAAATTTTCACAATCTAAAAAAGAAAGAATAATGTTCGCTCTTTTCTTTATTGATAGATATGTAGGGGTTGACTCTAAAATTTAGTTGCCTTTAAAAGGCAACTCGTTGACTCTAGAATTTTAAAATCAACTAGGATGGAGCTACGTGACTCTAAAATTTCAAAGTCAACTAGTCGACTTTAAAATTGAAAAGACAACTAGTTCGATTCTATAGTTAACTTTAAAATGTGCAGCAATAAATCTTTATTTATATAGTAAATATCATATTTATTGGATATTCGAATTTAAGAAAAAGAAATAAATATTAAACAAAGATATGGTGATCATTCGAGTACTACATCATCGATTTTTTTGGCCATTTTGAGCCTCCTCAGTATAATCAGATGTCCGGATTTGAAAATTCCTTCTCCCTTGATTACATGATTGTTACAATATTTTCCCATAAAGCATGATTCTTTTGCGAATTCAGGAACTCAAAAAAAAAAAATTTCTATCGTCTATACGTATATCTTCACATGTTAGTTTCACAATTAATTAACCAAAACAACAAACAATAAATAAGTAATTACAAATAACAGAAAATGATACGCAGCAGAGACCGTCACAGGGCACTTTTTTCCGCCCTGCCCTGCCCTGTGCCCTGCTCCGCCCTGTCCTGCCCTGCTCTGAAGATGACTCATTAGGGAAAATGTTTGCCCTGCCCTGCCCTGCCCTGTCCTGAGGGCAGGGCAGGGCCACCTGCAGGGCTTATAACTGCGTTTAC